CCTTCTTCGTCTGCCCTGACCCCACCATCCACTGGGGTTGGTTACCCAGTCTCCAGTGGGGTTGCTCAGGTTACCGGTGTGTACCAGCTTGGAGGTGAAGATAGGAATTGAGTAGGAGAGGCTAAGTGATGCCAACAGGATACGACATCATGTATTGCGCTTCACTAGTTTTTCTTAAAACAGTTTTTGGAAAATTTTAATATAAATGGTGGACTACCAGTTTTTTAATAGGTAGGTACTTGGAATTTGGTCCTTAAAGACTCCCATTGACTGAAAGTTTAAAATCGCAAAGGGAAATCTTCTTTTGATATCCACTGTTACATAAGAAATATGTAAACATATACATTCACATGAATACAATATGTTCACATGAATAGTAGCTCAGCATTTGTTCACGTAAGTGTATACCACATTTATATTTATTATATTAATCAATTAACTCTTTTAAATATCAATCCTCTTCTTGATCTAATTCTAACCCTCTGACAACGAAATTCTGAATATATCATGTATATATCTCGTTTATCTCTGCATTTGGTCACACATATTTCTTCAGGACTGTAAATACTGACCATCTCACGTTGTTTTTAGTTTCTTTGACAAGTAGAGATTGTCTATTCGGTTATTTCTTAATATAGACTATGAGCAATTGTCTAGATTGTCTAGCTAATTGAACACTATTATAGAAGTTATCAGTGGTCAATCTACGTTTATGTTCACATCTAGCTTTTTTAGATGTCGAAAGCATATTATTTACATCTATTTTTTTTACAAATATAATACAATTTACAAAAACAATTTTATAACTCACTTTTACAGAGGTAATTAACAATAAAAACGTACTAATAGAAACTAATAATTTACGATTTTCAATACTATAAGGGTACTTGAGGAACAATACGTTTTCACGTAATAATAGTTCCTGTATAAGTGAAATTGTATTTTAATGTGCTTTATTGAAGCACACTAGACATATTGCAGTTTTACCATCACATGCTCCACAGTATGTTTTAACTATTTTAACTTTTCTATCGGTCTTTCTACTAGTCATGTTCCTTTTTAAACTTTTGTAATATCTTGTACACTTTCTTCTCTTTTTATTACCTACGTCGCTTTGCCTAAGATGGTATTTTTTGGGTGTAACTGGTCGTGAGCGTTCCAACATTTATTTATTTGCAAATGTCTTCGCGAACACCAATCTGAACTCAATGATAGGTTGTCGCTTTTTCGCCTTTTCTATTATTTAACAACTAAGCATTGGCTACTGCGGTATTAAATATTAATTTCACTGCCACTTTCCGGTACCACTTCAGAATTTTGGATATTGGGTTCTGGTAAGAAGCAATTTGATTACTAAAATCAACACTCTTTTTCACCAAGTTATAATCGAGAATAGCTTGTGGTTTTAGCACTTGTGTATAATTTTTCTTTCCACCTGATTAAACCAAGATAAAACTATTATGTTGAAATATTGTAATAATTAAAACTGGTTTTTTGTTGACACATTTTTTCACTTGTGAAATCAATAATGGGGGTAAATTTCATTATAAGTAACCGGTTGCCACTTTTTTAATCAAGATTTTGGTTTTACATTTTTTGTACTAGACCATATGCACATAAATTCGTTTTTTAAACTATGATTATAATTCATCGACCAATATTCTAATAAAAAAGTGTTTTTGCGTCGTCCGGAATGTTATAAACTGGTTCTCTTTCACAAAGCATACGAAATATGGTTTACATTCTACATTTAGAAAAATCTTTTATAATGCAAGTCTTGTTCGTTTACCTAAACTTAATTAATACACAAAACAAATAATCTATTGTTTTTTATAGAAATGCATATTCCTGTCGGATTTGTATCAGTGGGGCATGAGTCACTGGTGTCTCGTATATCAGGACCTCTTATTGCATTACAAACATAGTTCTCAATTAGCAGTGTGGTACAAATTAAAGCCGTAATACTGTTCGTAAGACCATAAGACCGTATGTTATAAATAAATATATCCCTACAAGAATTATCTTGAAAAATGGGAAAAATACAATAAAAAAAAACAATATCAAAAGGTATTTAAAAATGGCTAGTCATTCATGGGCGTACAGTTAAAAACAAAAGTTTTCAGTGTTCTATTGCTTGATTATTATTATCTGGTTGGTATATTTTAAAAATACTAGCTAAGTATTCTGCAAATGTTGACATTTTTTTCTGGTCTGATCTGCCTCAACTAACGTCATTTTTTTTAAATGGTGTATTATTTCATATTCTTAAATGTATATTATATATTTCACGTTCTACGATGCATTCCACGTTTGACACACTGTCTTATTTAATTTTCTGTCATTCTATTTGTTAAATCCTATCCAATTTACGTCACAGCGTCAAGGAGCAGTAAATGTGTGCAGTGAACGGGAGGCATATGTCTAACAGTGAATGTTGGAACTTTTTCGCGTTTATCATATGTACAGTAGTTGACTAAAAGTAGACCTATGCAAATCATATGCTATTCGCTAAATTCTGTCACGTAATATGCCATAGACCTCTGTGGGTTATTACGTTTTATTGCTGCCAGTTTACCGTGATATTACATGCCGCCATGTTTACTTTGTCTCCACCATCGTATTATCTCTATTAAATCTTATCATTTAGGCTCCATATGTCATGATTAGACCTATAGGACAGGAGATACATAACTAAGGCTCTTTTGACATAGCATATATAGGAGCAAATATTTATACCTAAGGTCTTTTTGACGTGTTGCTGTATTTGATCTACGTCGTAGCATTCTATTGGTTAAATGATATCATTTGAGGTACTGTATGTCACGATTGGACTAATAGGATAGAAGATACATAACTAGGCCCTTTCACGATTGGACTAATAGGACCGCGGATGCATAACTAAGGCCCTTTTGACAGGCTGATGTATGCTGTATTTTATTTTTCTGTCTCATAGTATTTGATTGGTTAAATCCTATCATTTGAGGTACTGTACGTCACGATTGTGCCACTACAAACGAAGATACGTAAATAGGGCCCTTTTGACATGTTGCTGTATTTGATTTCTAAGTCATTGTATTCTATTAGTTAAGTGCTACCATTTGCTATATCGTACGTGACGATTGGACTAATAGGACCGAAGATACATAACTAAGGCCCTTTTGACATGCTACTCCATTTAATTTTTATACCTTATTGTATTTTATTAGCTAAAACCTTTCATTTGAGGTGCTGCACGTCATGATTAGAATAATAGACCCGAAGATACACAACTAAGGCCCTTTTGGCATGTTGCTGTATCCGATTTTTCTATTTCATTGTTTTCCATTGGTTAAATCCTATCATTTGAGATACTGTACGTCACGATTGGACTTATAGAAACGAAGATATATAACTAAGGCCTTTTTGACATGCTGCTGTATTTGATTTTTCTGTCTTATTGTATTTTATTGGTTAAATCCTATCATTTGAGATACTGTACGTCACGACTGGACCAATTGGAGCGAAGATACAATAGGTAGGTACAATATATCATAACTCGTTACTTTTAACAAAACATGATGCCAGAATGATTTATGGATGAAAAAAATATATATATTTTTAAATTTACCATTTCGTTGTGGGTAATATTATATTCAACAGCGATGCCAAATTTCTGATGCTAAAATGATTGATAATGAAAGTTGGATATACATTTTTATGTATATAATGACATCGAGTAAACGGTAAAACCCTGAACTAAATATATATAATATTTTCACCGTACCATCATTTTAGACTCAAACATTTTCTGGAATAAACTTATATAACTCAGTAAGGGATAAAAAGAGAAAGCCGATATTTTAAAATACCAACACGGTATCAAATCTCTAATCAGTGAGATGGTTAAAATTCTTGTAACAAGTACAGAAAAAAAGTTATTAAGGTGTTGTAAAGTAGCGTCGATATACAGATGCTACTTTGCAAGACGATGCTAAATTGATGGTAAAAGCATAATGTATCGATGCCAAAATGATAGTAGGATGTATATATATATATATATATATATATATATATATATATATATATATATATATATATATACTTATTAGACCACGTGTTCTGTCTCTAAAGTCTCTAAATGTTGTTAGTTATTTAATTGTTTATACAATATCACCATATGATGTCCATTTATTTGAGTTTTTGTACTATCTTTTTAATACCATTGACAACTACATATCTTTTTAAAGGTAACTATTTAACATCTTCTTCATGAATGTGTGGTACTCATAATGTAAAAATTTTTTAGATGAACTGATGATGCTATCAGAATTCGATAGCGAAACGTCTTCAAAATAGATGAAGTAGTATCAACTTTGTCTTTTATTTCTCCACCTAGTAGACCGATATTTGAACCCACCACTCGTCTGAGTGATCCTTATTATATATATATATATATATATATATATATATATATATATATATATTATATATATATATATATTATATATATATATTATATATATTATATATATATATATATTATATATATATATATTATATATATAATATATTTATATATATATATATATATATATATATATATATAATATATATAATATATATATATATATATATATATATATATATATATCAACAAGGCTTAGGTTTTATAGACTAGATTGTGATAATGGGATATTATATTGATGTCAATACAAAAAAAGAAACAAAATTTAAATTTAAAGTGTTAAAATATTATAATATATCAGTTACTTTGCCAATCCAGACTGAAAACCTCATCAATATAATAAAATACTTGTTTTAAAAGCACCTGTGTTAGTGTTTTATGTGGTTGTAATTAGTCGACGGTAATGGTAAGGTAAATTCTGCAGTGATGAAATTTAGTTCGCTTAGACATGATTTTGCTTAGACATGATGTCCTGATTCATTTGGCTAGTGTAACAAAATGTTTGGTTTTTGGTATTGTAAGTGTGCATCACTGAGTGTCAAAAAATAAAACTTACTTTGGTCTACTTGCATTCTCCATTTGTTTCTTTGAGAAAAATGCGTCCTTTTGGTTTTTAAACTCTGGAGAATTCATCATATTCTGGTAACCACCCTCATATGTATCATAAGATGATGACTGGTACGTACTGGCAGAAGAGGTGTGATTGGTTTTTGAGCTAGAATGTTGTGATGAGTTGCCTCCAATTAAATTACTTGTGTAATTTTGAGCGGGCGATTTCCTTTCATCCCATGGTTTTCCTTGAGCTAAAGTGGAAATCTACAAAAAAAAAACAAATTTGAATAAAATAATTTAAATAAGTTTTCTTTGCTTTTGGTATCATGAAAGGGATGAAACCAGTATAGAGAAATTAGAAGAAATATAATTGGCTTTCGAGTGAAAAAAAAAAACTATTAAAAATCTAATAATATTATTAGAAGAAAACTTTTAAAAAACACAGCAATAAATAGACTGAATGGGGAAGTACAAACAGAAATGTGAAAGTTCATGTATTATAATATATAGAAAATAAACTATTAAAATGGTGTGATCGTTCCTCACCCCGCAAGGAGGTCGTAGAATCTAACAATGGAGAAGTATACATTGCAGTTAGTGCAATGAACAAATTCTTTATAAAAGGAGATGTGCAATTTACGCTCAAAATTCATTTGCAGATTGTAAATGTAAATGTCTCTTCTAAACCTTCCCTTTCTTCCATAAAGAAATGAGCAGTTAAGTTCAAATAATTGCGAAAGTGTTCAAGATAATCCACTCGAAGCGAGCTCAAAAATGACAACATACCAGAAATCATCAACAAAGTATATTATAGTCTTTTGAAAGATGGGCATATACAAGTACGTGAAACATGCTCATTGCTGCTTACAAATACATTCGCATGCCACTTTCTGAGAAGTACCTGACATATGTTACAATGAATGAAATGTGGATTCACCACTGCACACATGGAACCAAGGCCGCCCCGTCAGCTTCCAAGAAAGTGATGACGGTGCCATCAGCGGGAAAAGTCATGACGTCGGTATTTTGGTATGGGAAAGGAATTTTATTAATTCTTCGTCTTCCTTTTCCATTATAGCCCTTAGTGGGTATTTGCCTGTCTGGCTATTTTCTTTAACCCATTTCTGCCCTACGTGTCCATATAGTCATGTAAATATACCTCTTTGTAACTAGATATATATATATATATATATATATATATATATATATATATATATATATATATATATATATATATATATATATAATGGTCCCGCCTTAGGAGGTCTAAGTGTCTGAAGGGCTCATAAATGGGCCCTGCACCGATCTACAATAACCAAAACTGGGGATATCTAGCCAAAAACTGCTTTTCCTAGAGACAGTAAATATTCTATTCTATACTAGATGGCGTTACACGATGTACTTACAGCAATAAAATATTTATTCAACAGGTTTCAGTCCGGTTTGAATGTTTTTTGTTGTATTGTTTCGTGTCGAAGAACAATAATGGACGTTAGATTTGAGTAAAATTATAATCCTGTGATTTTTATTTTGCCAAATTAAAGAGAATGATTGATACGTTTTATGACATTTCATTCAACAATAAATATTTATATTATTAGTGAGTAATTTTGAAGAAAAATATGCTGTACCCATATGGTAACATAGGGTATATACGTATAAAGTCTGGTCGGTTTATATTTTTTGCCGGCGTGGATTTATATCTCTCTCCTCCTGACCCTGATAAAAATTGGACTGCAAGAAATTTAGAAAAACAGTCAGCGCTTGAATACGAATCAAATACATTTTATACAGACGAATCGCCAGTTTATTTTTTTTGAATTATTCTTTAATAAAAAGTATTTATTTTATTGCATCGGAAACAAAAAGATGCGCCATTATCTTGAAGTGTCCCGACCCAAATATAACTGTCGACGAGTTAAATTTTTTTGTACAAAAAGGTTTGGACAAAAAGAAAAAAATCATGAACGAGAAACTTGAGAGAATGATTCCAAATACCAGAAGCTGCAAACATAATACATGAGGCACAAAACAGAGAAACATATCGTTTGATGGTCGCCAACATTATGTAGAAGACGGCACAAAAAGAAGGTGACTAATTGGATCAGAGGGGTGATATGGGTAACTTTATTGATAATAAAGTTAGATGAATCCGACATAATGTGGAAGATACGTCCCCTAACTGTTATATTGACAAATAATTTCGTAAACCATTTTAAACCTTATGTATATTTGAGTAACTACGAATCAATGATAAGATATTTGGAAGACACTCGTGCAAACAATTTATAAAAGGAAAATTTGCACACAAAACTTAGTGCCTTAGTTCTGAAAATAGCTATCTGATAAATTTCCAGATCTATCAAAGTAAACAATCTAAAAAAGCAAATTATCTGAATAAGAATTTTGGCAGCTGTACAGCACCATTAGTAAACATGCTTGAAGAATTTCCCGAACATGTAAAGTCACTACGTTTTCAAATTTTTGTTGATAATCTATTAACAAGTTATAATTTGCTGACAAAAATTAAATAGAAAGGAATACGGTGTGATAGGAACTTTCCAAGAGAATAAAGTTCCAAAAAACTGTCCCCTTGCAGACCAAAACGTTATGACTAAAAAGATAGAAAGAGGTACTTTTGAAAAAAATAATTTCTAAAAATAATGAACGATATTGGTAGATAACTCCATCGAAACATATGCGTCAACGACGTATGGAACACAACCCATTTCTACAGTCCAACGTTTTTTTCTTCCAAACAGTTGAAAATTATATTCAGGTACCACGTCCTCACTTGACAGATATGTACAAGTATACGAGTGGTACCGATAGGATTGATGAAGGCGATGCATAGTATTGAATAGCCATACGCATTTTTACATGGCATATAGATGTTGAACTGCGAAATTCACCCGAAGGCAGAAGATGTACGCCTAATTTAGATTTTACAGGGTAATTTACACGATCCTACTTAACATTGTATCAAAATAAACCGAAACGACAAGACGACCTGGTGGCAGTCGATTTAGTGTGACCCTAAATTGAATATATGATACACTTGTATGATCGTACGGACCATTTAGTTGGTTCCGTAGCGAATAATAAATGAAGACGGTGGGCTGGCGAAGGTTGTAGTTCTATAGGACATACAGAGTGTGAGAAATATGACGTTGGAGTTTGTATCGAGTCTTTCTTTGTGTAGACTAAAATGCTTTTTATAAATAAATTAAAATAAATATTCAAACATACTCCCTTTTACTTGTTACCATATGGTTACGGCCTTTAACTACCAAACCAAAAAGCTAGTTATTTTAAGGTAATTTAACCATTTTAGTACCTTTTAATATGGGTTTCAACGGAATTTTTGAACAAATCATAAAAAATGGATATTCGGACAGAAATGGCTTAATTCAGATTTCTCTGGTGCCCTTCTCTTTCCTCTTACATTCAACCGTCTAGTTTTCGGTTTTCCATTCTTTCGAGGAGTGGCCGATGGTTGGGATTATACAGCTAATATATACCTATATATATATATATATATATATAATATATATATATATATATATATATATATATATATATATATATATATATTGTAGGCTCCGTTAATAAATAATATTGTTTAGTTTTCTTAAGTTTATTTAGCGGAAAGAAACACTAATTGTACATAATTCGACATAATAATTTTCATAACATTCAGATGGCCATAATTCATAATCACAAGTGTCAAGTCTAAACATAAAGTGTGTGGTTATCTTCTTTTTTTCCAAATTGAGTGACAATCAGATCTGTCAATGGCGCAAAATTCAAATAAGACTACAGTTCGGCCATCCTGACACGTCTGATCGTCCTCGATCAACCTAATATTACAGTATATTAATTACATAACTAAGATATTTAACATTCATGACTTTCATAAGACATAACATAATGGATATTTGAAATGAACATTTTCCTTTAGAGTTTAAAACATACAGTAATAATAATAATAATTCATAATGAGTTAAATAAACAAATCATAATAATCATAATTCATAATGGTTTAAATAAGCAAGGCATAACATTCATAATAGTTTAAATAAGCACGACATAACATACATAATGGATTGAAGTGTCCATAGGGGTACAAATGGAAATCATAATATCCATAACACACCCTAACTGTCTCGATGTAATGGTACAAGTAATGGATTATAAATAAGCATAAACATAATTGAATAAAAATTAAACATAATTATTTTAACCCTAACTAATAATGAAATTGATTATTTATCATAAGCTCTAATCCTACTACTGTCTATAATTCCCTCATATGGTACTTGTGTTGTTTGGAACCCAACAATATCATTCACAATATACCTATCATTTGGTAGCTCTTTCACAATCTCATACGGTCCTCTAAATTTTGGTATAAGTTTTTTAGCTACTCCAGGGGTTGTGTCTACGTTGGAAATCATAACATATTGCCCCACCTTAAACTTTTGAGCCTCCTTATGCTTCTTGTTATAATACTGTTCATTTACATTTTGTGCCTTAATTATTTGTGCTTCTGCCTTAGTTCGAATCATTTCCCGTTCTTCCTTATCAATATCTTGTAATGCTTCTCTTAGATTATCCCTAATCTTTCCTATTTGATCTCTTCCAAAAAGTAACTTAGCTGGGGTTTCTCCTGTTGATCTGTTTATTGTATTATTGATGCAGAATTCCACTTCATGTAATGCATTTGGCCAGTTGATTTGTTTTTCATCGGTTATCTTTGCTAGAAGAGGTGTCAATAACCTGTTCATGCGTTCTATTTGCCCATTGGCTCTCGGACAACCACTTGCAATCAGTATGTGTTTGATTGTATACTCCTCCAAAAATTTCTTAAAATCATGAGAGGTAAAACAAGATCCTCTGTCTGAACTGATAACGCTCGGTACACTATAATTGGCAAAATGTTCAGTTAAATATTTAATTACTTCTCCTGTATTTGTTGATTTGCAAGGATAGAACTTAATAAATTTAGTAAACCCATCAACAACTTCAAATATATATTTATTCTTATTAAAAGGAGCTAATGGCCCATAGTGATCAATATGAAGCATTTCAAAAGGTAAATTGCCCTTAGGTATACTATGTAGATATCCTTCTGATTTGCCACTTTTAGGATTGAATTCAATACACTTTAAGCAATTTTGAATATGATTTCCAATCTTAAATTTTAATTTTGGAAACCAATATGTCTTGGAAATAATTTCAAATGTTTTGTCTGTTCCGAAATG